TGTGACCCTCAACAAACCCTTGACCCTTCTGAAGGGTCAGGGGTTTTTTTAGGGGTTTCATTTCTCTAATATCAAGGTAAGTGCTCCAGATAAAATGATTNTAAATCACATTGAATCAGATAAAATATCATCCAAAGAGACCTCACTACCTTTGCAACACTTAGTATTGTTCAGATACACTGAATTCCTCATATTTCATCAATAATTTACTAAAAACCATGTGTACTGTCATAAATATACTTGAATGATGTGTATTTCACAGGCATCTTGCTATTTATTTACTATCTATAAAGCTTGAGCAGTCATTTGCTCCAAACCCTTGTTCAAACCCTGCTGGGGTTTCTTACCCTCCAACCCCTGAGATACCCTTACCCTTACCCTCCAAAACCCTTGACCCCAGCCAAGGGTCAAGGGTTTTGGAGGGTAAGGGTCAGGGTCAGCCTGAGTTGACCCCAGGGTTACCCCTGCTCATCACTAACTACAAGGAAGGCAGGAAACCAGGCACTAAAATGCCACGAGCACAAGTACAAATTCTTCCGGTGATGGCAACTATTAGGGCATTATATGCAAATGCAGATACCTCTAGGCGTTTACGTCAACGTGATTCTCATTTGAAGCAGGCCCTTCATCTTGTTGGATCTGCAATGCAGAAATTCTCTGATTATGGAAATTCACAGCTCCATATTATCCAGCATCAACAGATGGGTCTTTTTAAATTTCTGAGGGATATTGCACTTGCACTATCAACTGATGGAGCTCAACTAACAATGAAGAAGCATTCCAACACTTGGCTTCTTATCCTCATAATTCTGAATCTTCCTGCCACATTACGTTATAAAACTGAGCACATAATCATCAATCTTGCAACTCCAGGCCCAAATTCCCCAGGAGATATTGAATCCTTTATCCGACCTTTATTTGAAGAAATGGCAATGTCAAGTGAAGGGATCTGGATGTGGGATGCAGTTGATTCTTCATATTTTGTCAATCATGCATACATAGTGATGGCACTTGGTGATATGCTTGGCTCAGCCAAATTAAATGGGATGGCAGGCCATTCAGCAATTTATGGGGGTCGATTTACCATGGTCCGAGGAGCAGTGAGCACATTCCAGTCTTGCAAAGGGAGCAAAATCTCAGTATTATCCAATTTCACCTCCTGAAAATATGAAGTACAATCCAGATAGGCCAGAAGCATATGACCTTGCAAATCTCCCAATGAGAACAGCACAATCATACTGGGAGATAATTAAGAAATTGTTTGCTGCCACATCAAAGACTGCCAGAGCAGTGATTACAAAGTCCACAGGAGTATCACGGCTACCATTATGTGCAGCCAGTAGGGCTTTCTTGCACCCAACTTATTTCCCTTTAGATCCTTTTCATCTCTTCTACGAGAATGGTACAGCCTTTATATGGGATATTTGGACAATATCCAGCTCAGAGACAGAAATCATCCATTTGCCAGCTAATAAAGCACGGGCATTTGGATCTCTTGTAGCAAAGGCTATGGTATCTCTCCCACCTTCTTTCTGTGGCCCAATCCGTGATCCTCATTTGAAGTGCCAGAGTCAATATAAAGTATACGAGTGGATGGCACTTCTCCACTGGTACATCATTCCAATTGGAATTGAACTAGGATTCAATTCACTAGTTTTGCAAAATTTTTCGCTTTTTGCAGAAGCTGTGGAATTTGCAATGACTATTTCAGAACGAACAGAAAAGGAGCTGGAAGGGCTTCGAAGCCTTATAATCAAATTTCTTACAGGCTTTGAGAAGCTCTATGTCGATGGAGATCCAGAAAAAATCTCACGCATGTGTTTGTGCATCTTTCAACTGATTCATGTTCCCACCCATATAAAATGGAATGGATCAATCCGACTAGGATCCCAGGCTACGGTGGCGCGAAGCATTGGTGAGATGGGCCACAAAATCCATTCAAAAAAGGCTCCATTTGCTAATCTGGCAAACATTATATCTGAGCGAGAGCTAGTCAAGATTCTCTTGCTTTATCTCCCTGCACTTGATATCAATGCAAATGCCTCAAAAGAAATGAAAAAGAATGACAGTAATTTGATTCAGAAGCGCAAAATTACAAAGAGAGAAGGCCAGAATGAGCAAGTCATTTGTGAACTTGATGCCATTAATGCATGGTTAAAGGAGGCCAATGTCAAGGAAAAATTTGTGGCAAAGGAGAGATATGGCAAATTAAGATTGGCCAATGGACAAATTTTGGGTAGCCGTCTGAGTACTTCTCAGGTAGATAACTCATTGACCCGCATGCAGAAGTGGTTCAAGGTGAGTGAATTCACAAAACATCTGGCCAGTATTCACATTTCTTTTGTAGGCTAAAAATACCCATGCCCAAGCTAGTTCCACTACAAGCACCCCACCTGGGTCAAACACTCCAAATATATTGAATCACACTTTTGGTGAAGCGAATTCATTCTACAAGGTGGAACTGACAAACAAGACTTATATTCTGGTGGTATATACTCCACTTATCAATGTGCAACAAGTTCTGAGAACTCAAATACGAGGGAAATGGGAAAGCCCTACTACTCTGAAGGTCATTGAGGCAAGCCAAATTCTAGATCTTGTTGGAATATGGAGTGCTGAGGCATCTAAAAATATTTATGTGTTGAGGAAGCACCCAGGTTTGGCAATGTTAAGTGCAGTTGAGTCTGGAAAAGGGGATGAAGGTAATGATACAGATGATAGTGATTCAGATGAGGAATAGACTAGGACTAGACTACAACACAGCATGTACTTGACTATTACTTGACTTCAGTCAGGCCATAAAATCCTAGCAAACATGTACCTGAGGGCCACATGACTTCAACCTTACCAATGTGACTTCACACGACCATATTGTGAGGAGTGGATGACTTGACCTGACTTTCGTTTTTACTGAGGGTCACTGCTTACAAATTGGATCATGGCTTACGAAAATGAAGCTGGCGGAAGACTGTTTCCATAGGCATGGGAGCATTGAGACATATTTGAAGGGGTGTGCGTAGGTTCCTGTGGCAAATACAGCTATCGAGGTATCGATAGACTAGTTTCCACGACGCTCCGCTTAGTGATTTTGTTTAGTTTTGGAGCTGGCCAAACAACTTCCCACAGGCAATTGGTGGGCATTGCCTTCCCACCCCTTCCCGCCTGTTGCGTATATAGTCATAAATTCCTAGTTTGGTTGTTTGCACCAGTACTTTACCCTCCCCGGGTTAATCCATATGGAATGGATGGAATGGGGGGTGGACTGCACAAATTCCAGATGGATTCCATGGAGTGGGGGATGGATTCCATAGAATGGGGGATGGATTCCATGGAATGGGGGATGGATTCCATGGAGTGGGGGATGGATTCCATAGAATGGGGGATGGATTCCATGGAATGGGGGATGGATTCCATACTTTTTCCACATGGAATCCATACTCTATTCTATATGTTCTATACCATTTTAAGGGTGGAATTCATATGGACTCCATATGGATTCCATAAGGATTCCACATGGAATCCACATGGAATGACTTTATGAAATAATTCTAAGTACACATCATGTAATCATGGTTTCTAGATTCATAAGTCATAGCTGAGCAGGAAAAATTGAAATGTATTAAATGGACTACACAATTTATGTTTACTATTCTCAATATTTAAGGGAGGGGGGAAGACAGGGGGAAGTGATGGAGGGGGAGGATGTAGTAGAGTGAGGGGTGACGGGGAAGGAGTGATGGAGGAGAGAGGGAGTGGTGAAGGGAGGGAGTGGTGAAGGGAGAGGTGGGAATGAATGGGGGGGAGAGCAATGGGAGGGGGAGCAATGGAGGGAGGGGAAGAAATGGGAGGGGGAGCAACAGAGGGAGGGGGAGCAATGAAGAGAGGGGGAGCAACAGAGGGAGGGGGAGCAATGAAGGGAGGGTGAATGATGGAGGGGTGGTGGTGAGGGATGTTGGAGGGAGGGGGAGCTTACCTGGGCTCGTCGTTGCCCATTTCAGTTCACGCGAGCGGAATCCTCCATGCGTGGGTGCTCTGGGTCCACGTTTGTGGGCGGTGGGCTCGTTTTGGCGTGGGCGGTCGTGTCGTGGGCGGTCGCGTCGTCTTCGTGGGTGGTCGCGTCGTCTTCGTGTCATCGCGTTGTCTTCGTGGGCGGTCGCATCGTCTTCGTGGGTGGTCGCGTTGTCTTCGTGTCGTCGCGTTGTCTTCGTGTCATCGCGTTGTCTTCGTGTCGTCGCTCGTGGGCGTTCGTTGTCGTGCGCGGGCGTTCGTTGTCATGCGCGGGCGTTCGTTGTCGTGCGCGGGCGTTCGTTGTCGTGCGCGGGCGTTCGTTGTCGTGCGCGGGCGTTCGTTGTCGTGCGCGGGCGTTCGTTGTCGTGCGCGGGCGTTCGTTGTCGTGCGCGGGCATTCGTTGTTGTGCGCGGGCGTTCGT